ACTGAACATATTTAACAACAGTATTGTGTTTGCTTACAATATGAATCAAACAGTCGAAAGCAATGCCTAATTTGAGCCAGATCTGTGCCTGGAAATGTCAGATATTTGTGTTTTGCGTTCCAGTATTTATTTTGATTAATCCATTAACTTTTGCATGGCGAATACCTGCACATGTGTGTGTGTGTGCACACATAAAGATCAATCAGCTTTCTTAAATTGCAATCACTCTTACTGGTTGGTGATTATTGTTTCACGCACAGTGAGCAGCAAAAATAAATAATGGCATAATCATTTAAGTAATATTAGTATTTTCATTCAATAGTCAAGCATATATTTATTTTAAAACCACAAGTAAATCTGATCGTGAGCCAATCGATTCTCTCTATTCACAGAAAAGGTAACAGTGGACTCTTCCTAAAGATTAGATAGAGTGAGTCATTTTCACTTGGCAGATCACAGCGAACTGATTAGTGCTGTTTCATACGATTTGTGTTTGTAGCTACATATTTGTTTGTTTTTTCTTGGTTGACCCATAACGTTATGTTAACCGTTCAGAAATTTGATGCTTTTTCATTATAACCGATTAAGCCTGGTTTATACTTCTATGTCAAATGATCAGCGTGACCCATGTTGCATGCAATGCGCGTAGCCGTGCACTTCTGTTTGCTGTGTGTGTTGGTCTGCAATAACACTTCAGAAACACTAGCTGGCAGTAGGTGTTTATGTGCCTCTGTGTCGAGTTTCTTCGCTGTTTTTTTGTTTTTTTCTAAACGCTATACTTAATTTAAAAGTTACTTAAACTCGCTCATTTTGAAGCTGTAAACGGCAGATGTGCAACAACTTTAATCATAAGGTAAACAAAACACATTTTCCATCCGGAGATCCTTTACGGGACTCCAGACTCACTGGATCAGGCTCGTGCTGCTCACACCTCTGCTTAGACTCATCAGCGCTACCAAGTTGACCAATCACAGTACTTGCGCTACACATCGTTGTGAATTTTAGTTGCAATTTTTGAGAGGTACGCATCAGCGTCACTGATGGCCACAGCAGGAGCTATGCGAATACGTGTAGGTGGCATAAATCAACTTGAAATTTTGTGGCGGACAATTGTCACGATAACTTTTATTTCCTGGTTTTGTTCTGGAAATTATTCATTTACAAATTAAGCACTGGTCAAAAGCTATTACTTTTCTTAAAGTAAGTCTGCTACCTTAAAATCGACAACCTGACTTTATTTAAAAAAGTAAGTAGACCATTGCAACTAGGAAGAATTAAGTTAACTTAATTATTGTACTTAATTCATTTATCTTCGGTTTAGTCTATATTTCAGAGGTTTTCTCAGAATTTTCTCAGAAAACATATTTCTAAAGGTGTTGTTGACTTGAAAATTTCCCAAGAAAAAGCTAAAGAAATCCATATATGCAAAAAAACCCAAAAAACAAATCTAATTAGTTTACACATTAAGTTATGTGTGATAAAATGAATTGACACAGGGAAAACGTATTGAGCACCACAGCGGAATAAACCACCAACTATTCCAGCATATGTTTTACACAGCAGATGCCTTACAGCAGCAACCCAGTTCTGGCAAACACCCATACACACTCATTCAAACACACATGTAGCGCATGTCTTCGAACTGTGGGGGAAACCAGAGCACCTGGAGGAAACCCATGCAAACATGGAAAGAACTCTCCGACTGGTCCAGCCAGGACTCAAAACAGTGACCTTCTTGCTGTGAGGCAACAGTGCTAACCACTTAACCACCGTGTCGCTCAAGTGCAAGTACTTAATATTATTTAGGTAAAATGTTTACTCGCTTTTTTTAAGTAAGGTCAACTAATAGTTTTAAAAGCCAGTGGTTTAAGTAAAATGAACAAATCACTTTTTTTAATATTCACCAAAGATCACAGTTTCAGCTAAAATCGTCTTTAAGTTTCTTTTGTACTGTTTATTTTGAATAACATAAGCAAATTAATAGCATAGTTTGGGTGAACTATGCTTAAAAGGCAACTTATAATGCTTAGCTATGTACACACTGCATCAAAACCATTGAGCTTATGTATGACTGATGACAAAGTGCCCAAATATTCTGAACATTATTTGTGGTCTTCAGTGTTGCGCATATTGCTGCAGCTAAACACTTCTGCGTCAAATAGAGCTGAAACAGGTGATGAGAAAACGAGAGAGACTATGTACTGTGTAATACTGAAACGTGTTCAGCCACGGACCAATGACTTTTTTTTCCCTGGCTCATTTAATGGAGCTATATCACAAATAAAAAGAGGAAGAGAAAAGAAAAAAGTGTCAAATGCAGTTGTCAAGGAAACATGATCTGGCATGAGTCAAGAATTGTACATTGTGTAGTGCAATCATTAATTAGTGCAGTAGGATGTCTCGTTTACTTGGAAGCATCTCAAGAAAACCTCCGTTTGACTGCCATAAGCTTAGCCTTTCTAAACAGAGCTTCACTGCAAACAATCCATCCTGAAATGTCAAATTGAACTTACAGTTTTACACTTACAAGAGCATTTTAAATGCCACAAACTACATAATGCTATCCTTAAAGGCAGAATACATTCAGTATAATAACACAAACACACACACATACATCTTAGATGAACATGAGAACTACTTATGAAGAATTTGTTACTGACAAAGAAAGAGTAATAATATAAGCGCACCATAGGAAACCATTAAAGTGCAATACTAAACACAAGAATGTCAGCGATTGTGTGAAAAAGACAAAATTATGGTCATCCCTAAGATTAAATGTGTAATTTTCATTTTAGTATGCAAAATTTTACTCTTAAATATGTAGCTTTGAACATAATTAAATGTACAGTTGAAGTCAGAATTATTAGCCCCCGTTAATATTTTTTTCCCAATTTCTCTTTAAAAGAGAGAAGATTTTTTTCAACACATTTCTAAACATAATAGTTTTAGTTACTCATTTCTAACAACTGATTTATTTTATCTTTGCCATGATGACAGTAAATAATATTGTGCAATATATTTTTCAAGACTCTTCTATACAGCTTAAAGTGACATGTAAAGGCTTAACTACTGTAGGTTGATTAGGTTAACTAAGCAGATTAGGGTAATTAGGCAAGTTATTGTATAGTGATGGTTTGTTCTGTACACTATCGAGAAAAAAAAATAGTTTAAAGGGGCAAATAATTTTGTCCTTAAAATAGTGTTTAAAAAATCAAAAACTGCTTTTATTCTAGCCGAAATAAAACTAATAAGACTTTCTCCAGAAGAAAAAAAAAAATAAAAATCAAACATACTGTGAAAATTTTCTTGCTCTGTTAAAAATCATTTAGGAAAAATTTAAAAAAGAAAAAAAATCAAAGGGTGTTTTATAATTCTGATTTCAACATTAATGCTGAAAAAGAAGGGTGAAATTACACAGTTATGTAGCAAAAAAAATTTAATAAAATATATTCATTCATTCATTCATTTTCTTTTTGGCTTAGTCCCTTAACTAATCAGGCGTCGCCGCAGCAGAATGAACAGCTAACTTAAATAAAATATGTACTTATGTAAATTTACAAAAGATCAAACTATCACACTTAAATGTATCTTAAATGACTAAAAAATGTGCCGCTGAAAAGCTTGCTATAGCAAAAATTTAGGAAATATAGTTGATGGACATTCCGACATACAAGCAAACAAAACAAAATATGAACTATTATTTTGGGGCTGAACTGTTATCTTTAATAGATAATTTCTAAACAATACATATATATATATATATATATATATATATATATATATATATATATATATATATATATATATATATATATATATATATGTAAACAAATATAATATGTAGTTGAAATTGTGTAGTTTGTAATTTTTTTTGCAATTTTCAATGTATTATTTTTCTATTCCTAAAGATTTTAGGTGACCAAACTCTTATTTTAATGGATATAACTGTTTAATACAACGGTTTTCTTTAAATGCACCAAGAAATCTTGTCTATATTCACTGAAAATTTGATTAATTTTGAATGGGTGATGTACTAATTAATTATATTAATGTTAGATATATTTATAACAATAATAATTGGAGGTAGAAACAAAAATGATCTGCATATGCGCTGTCATGATTAAAACCATCACATTTCAGTATCTGCTATTCACATATCATTCAGTTTAAACAATTAAATGAAAGATAAAATGCACAATCTGTTTTTTGCAGGCATCAACGTTTCAGATGACTTAAAATGTTGTCAAAAATGCCAAATTTTAACATGACAGCAAGCAAGATACGACTTTTTGCTCAAACATGCTCCAATTCCAACAAATCATCATAATGATTATTGTGAGATTGTTACCAAACACAAAACCTTATAAATCCTTTTTTTAAGTGGAGTTCAAATGCTTAATTTCAATGTGTCAATGCAGGCCAACACACTGTGTGCATTAATTATTATGATGAAAACTCATATTTCTGCGTGTATTTTTGAACAAATGTGAGCCTATGAAGCCAGAATGTTATTTTAAACATTTAAAACATGAGGCATGATGTTCAGGTTTCAGTACTCTATGTTTTCACTGAAGTACATGAGAAGGACTGTCAAGAGACTCTCCAAAGCATGATCCTGCCATCATCAAATGAAAGCAAGCTGAATTTTCTGCTTACATTTCTCTCACACACACAACATCAGCAGCAGGCAATTCAGCTAACTGTTCTGCTTCTCTTATCTGTTGCCAACTCAAGTCAAGTGACCCTCGGCATCTTAGATTAATCCCCTTTTTAAACCAGAGAAGCTACGGCCTTTAGAAACCCGAACCTTATGGCAGAGAGCAAGAGAGAGTGGTTAACTCCGTTAGTAGATTAAAAATCTACAAGACACTTCATTTTCCAAATTGTCTGCAAGAGCATTCAGGGCCTTTTATTTGAGAAGCAACTTTAACGATCAAGAAAACATGATAACACTTCTGTCAACAGAAAACAAAGAAAGGCAGAAAGAAAGAAAAGACAGAGCAAATTAGATTGGATTTTAATACCTTGACCTCAACAGGATTGCACAATGAAATTAATAACCAATATACAGATTTCTCATGACTGATATAAAATTGTATTTATTTTTATCTCTCATGGTACATTCTAATAAACAATCGTTAACTTAATTCTTCAAATAAAGACTGAATGAAACATAAGCCTTTCCCCTTTAAAAAAATCAAGCTTTCTCTCTGCAATATTAATCTGAACTGACAAACAAAATAAGATTTCAAGCTAACATGATTGAGCGTAATAATATTGCACATGAAAAGTGATATGATTCTGACCAAATCTGCCTTTTTATAAGGTGAGTTGGGTCTCACAGTCATGTCGATAAAACACAATCCTCTCCACAAAGCCAATAAATTACATCAAATGAATCATTTCCACAATGCCGCTCGCTCTATCCAGAATCATATCACGTTAATGCACACTTATTTGGTTGCATATTGTTAATAAAAAACGTTTTACAAGTTGCTCTGGGATATAAGAATAAGCAAACTGTTAGACGTGATACGCTAGGAGGCCTCACCTCGTGCAACGTGACAGTGAAAATGACATCATCACCGCCATCTATCCGCCACTAGCAGAATTCAGAATGTAACTCAGGTCAGAACAGAATTTTAGAGCTCCGGCTAAGAGCCTGCATCACTTATAGCATTCAAAATGTCCCTTGAAATTGTTAAATAGTACCAATAGTCTTTAAATAATTCTGCATAGAAAAATAAATTAAATATGAAGTTAAACTACGAATTGACTGGTGACAGTGGTCATCTTTTTTATCGATTTTTCATATTTCCACTATTTTCTTCAGATGAGACTGTTGAATTTAATTGTCGACTGTTGTAATTTACACAACTGCCCCACAAATACAAATAATGTTGACTTACAAAATAAATCCAGATACGCTTACATGGCAAGCAGCTGTTTAGTTTCTCTTGAGTTCATGAATGTCCTGTCATGTGCCATAACCAAACACTTCAAGAAGAATCACATTTCAGTAGAACAATATCAAATGGCTCTTTACAAGTAATTGGAATAATCCAAAGTGTACGGATGTTGGCTGCCAGTACCTTCAGATTTAATCAAATCCAAGAGTTTCAAGTCCCCCAAAAGTGGCAAAATATAATCCAAGAGAGGGGAGTCTGCAGTATTCCACCACTTTCAAGCATGTGCCAACTTCCAATTCTTCCACTCCATTTGATTTTGTCATCCCAAGATGCCTAAAAATACTTCCAACCAAACACAATGAAGAAGGGTCAATATGAAGTACACTCAACACCGTTTCATGACCCAATCATTTGGTAAAAAAAAACAAAGTTCAGCAGAATTTGACGGAACCCATATCAGTAGCAGCAAACTATGACTATTTTGTAAAGATACTGACTGATGTGATTCTTAATTCTTAATGGCATTACAACATAAACATGGTATGTGATTTTTCTTTTTTTAACACAGCCACCAATTCTAAGGGAGTTACACTTTGAGTAAATGAAATGTGTCCGGTATTCCATTGGTCATTAAGATTTGTCTTAAGGCACTTTTGTCATTACGGGACAGATGCAGATGCTGTTCTAGAATTTACTGAGGGCTGTCTGTTCCTCTAGTACTTGAAGGTAGTCTGGGGTCCCCATTTTTGCCTTTAGTTCATAATAATCACTTTTACGCTGTTCAATCACTATCTTACTGTGGTTGCCCCCTATTAATGACTTTTTCATTTTTTTGTCATGTGGTTTCTCGGGGTAACGGATCTCAAAGCCACTCACCCCTATACTGCTGAAATCCTTTTTGCTCTCCATGAAGTTGTGAAGAAACATGGTGTCTCGTCCCGGTAAGAACTCGTCCAGCTCGTCGATGGTGCTTAATCTCTTCCTGGGGTCCAGGGATAGAGAGTCCTTGTCTTGGTCTGCACTGTTGCGTAACATCATTTTCTGTCTCTCTGAGTCTATAAATTTGTAGCCTGAATCAGAGTCTCTAATTCCACACGTATGAGCTTTACTCATGTGCTCGATGGTCTGTGGGATGAAGGTCTCTCCACCCAGGTCGTCCTTGTTTGATTTGTGATTGTGCCTCCTGATCTGGAGAGGCATCGAGCCGCACTCCTGGTTGCCGAGACCCTCCTGTCTCCCTGCTGGCTTTTTGTTCCGTCTCAGCACAAAGACCAGCAGGCAGAAGGCCACAAAGACAGTGAGGATCAGTACAACCAGTATGCTCAGGATCATAATAGACAGGGGTACAGGGCCACTGGGGGGTGCCTTGCCAACTCCTGCAGGTGACAATGATGTGAGAACAGGGGTGGCACTAGTCAGGATGAAAGGAGGCCTGGCTATGAGCTTCGGGCACATGATCTCATTTTTCAGCTCTCTCAGCTCAATGTTGGAGAACTGCACTGGAGACGCACACTTGACCCCTTTGGCTGCGACCCCTTCATTCAGTTTTTCGAGCCACAGTTTCAAAGCCACTAAATCACAGGAGCATTCCCAAGGGTTGCCATCCAAGTCTATCTGAGTGAGAGATTTGAGCTGGTCTAGGACGCCACTCACAGGCAGAGTCATGAAGTGGTTGTTCTTTAGATTCAATCTGGCAAGAGAAACCCCAGCAAAGATGTACGCAGGCAAGCTTCTGAGCACATTGTTATTCAGGTACAAGAGCTGCAAATTTGGCATAGAGTCAAATGTCCCTGCTAACACCTCCTTTATGGCATTGTACTCCAAATAGAGATATTGGAGGTTACTAAGCCCAAGAAACATTTCAGGGTGCAGCTGCTCGAGCTGATTTCCATTTAGGTACAGCCTACGGAGATTGGTGAGATTTGCAAAGACACCTTTTTGGACTGTGGATATTTGATTGCTGCCCAAATGCAATAAATCTAAACCCTCAAACCCTTGGAAGTCCGTGGGACTGATATCTCGGATGTAATTGCCACTAAGATGCAATTTCTTGGCATTTGGTGGTTTAGGTATAAGATCTGCCAGGCTCTGGATGTTTCTCTCTTGACAGCTGACACTAATGCCAAAATCAGAGGGGTGAGCTTTGCACGTGCAGGGCTGGGGACAAGAAAGGGGAGGGATTCGTGTTTGATAGGACACAATTTGGCCATTTTTACCAGCTGGGTTGCCAGCGACAATACCGTTGCCATATATTTTGGAGGGATTGGTGGTTTTGGGTGCTTTGGTCACTAAAGGTGCTATGGTTGAAGGTGCCACGTTAGACATAGTTAGCCCACCCTCTGGCTGGGAGGGGGGCATCCGTACATCAAAGTCACTGCCTGTACCCATGGGGCACAGCTCCTGCTTGTTAGTCTCCTTCAAGAGTCGGCCATACAAGTCACTGGGGGTCTCACAGATGGCCTCCCCAATGAAAATGTTATAGGGCATATTTTCCAACCAAGCTTTCAAAGGTAACAAATCACAAGTGCAATTCCACGGGTTGTCATCCAACTGCAATTCCACTATGCGCCCAATGTGCTCCAGAACCCCAAGATAAGGAAGCTTCTGTATCCTATTCCCTCTTATGTCCAAGTGAGTAAGGGAGGCGAATCGGAAAATGTTCTCAGGTAGGCTTTGAATTAGATTGTCATTTAAAATGAGAACCTTCAGTTTATGTAATTTGTTGAAGGCTCCTTTCTCAATAAACTTGATTAAATTGTAGTCAGCCTGGAGGTATTCCAAGTTTTCAATCCCTCGGAAAGTGTCAGCACGTAGCTCTTTTAACTCATTGTTATTTAAGTGCAACTGTTTCAAAGCACTGAGCCCCACAAAGGCCCCTCCCTCAATGTTCTGGAGTTTGTTGTTCCCCAGCTGGAGTGAGACTGCGTGTGTGAAATTCACAAAAGAGTTGGGGTAAAGGATGTACAAAAGGTTGTTCTGGAAATTCAAATGGTAGAGGCTGGATGCTGGCGGATGCAGCTGTGTAGGTCTGTACACAGTTATTTTCTCACAGTTCACATAGAGGACGTTCTCGATGGACATGCAGGAGCAAGCGCTGCAGGTCTCAGCTCTGAGGTCCGAATCCAAGTCACAAAATGAACCCGATATGGAAAAGGCCAACAGAACAAGCAGCAGCATTTTGCCTTTTACAAATCCCCCAGTAAACCATTTAGAAACCTTAGAGGGGGGAAAAACAAACAAACAATCAAAACACATGCCTATTTCCCATTGATTCACAGAGCTAATGCCACAATCTTACAGCAGGGGTGTTTAGAAAGCCCTCTGCACATACAAAGAAGTTGGAAAACCTGTTATGTGCATTTTGGATAAAAAAAAAAGGGAGCCAACCATGAAAATAAATTATTTTGTATGTTCAAGCACAACAATTGTTTAAAATGCAATTTTAATAAACTGCCGTAGTGTGATAACACCGCAATGAATGTATGCATCAGCGTTTTTTCTTTTTTTTTTCTTTTTTTGCGCGTGTATGTGTGTGTGCTTCAGTGAATCGATGAGGGAAAAAAAGTCTCTGGCCATCGCATACAGAAGACAGCATTATCCTCCTCATGAAACCATTATTTTTAATAGGGTGAATCTAGATAATGATGATGAATTCTTAAGCTTTGCCAACAAACATTTTAATAAATAAAAATAATAATAATTGAACACTCACCGGCAATGTTCATTTATCCTCCTTTTCAGATTACACCGGACATTGGGAGCGCCAAGAGAGGGACTATTCCCATTCAGTCAGGTTCAAATTTCAGTCTCAGCCTCTCTCGTCAAGCTCCACTTGTACAAAACATATAATGTGTCATAAAATCCCAAGGTTATTGAGCTCTTTTGAGGCATCTCAAACACTGCGCTGCGTATTTGCGCTGAAGAATGAAATCGTTTCAAACCCGAAGTGGAAATGGAGAAACGGCAAGTGGCAAATTTGGATGCAAAACAAGTCCAACATTCTTCCGTTGAATGAACTGAACATCAGTTTGGAGGCTATTTGAACGGACAGTTCGCTCAACAGTTCGGAAGAGGGGAGAAAAAATAAATAAATAAAAAACTGATACAGATCTTAATAAATTAATCGCAACAATCCATCGCGCGTCGCGGCTCAACCCGATTGCCGAAAATCGGAAACCGACTCCAGTTGAATTCCTGCCTCTTCTTGGGATTATGCAAGTTGCGAGATAAGAGGAAAAAAGAAACTACGTGCTCTGATGTCAGTCCGACGAGGAAATTAATAATTCAGCTGTGTAAAATACGCTCGAAAAAGAGATGCCACTCTACGCCTCATCATTAAAATAAGTGTTGTTGGTGCAGTCCTCGTCCGGATAATGAGACCAGTCTTATAAACCAACTATTCCATCTCGTCTTCTTCTAAGTATGTTGGTTTTGTTGCTGCATTGAGCTTCCCACACTGTGAAGCGGGAGGAGAGAAAATGCAGAGATGCAGAGAGAGGGAGAGAGGGGGTGAGAGAGGAGGAGAGAGAGAGAGAGCAATGGAAAGGCAGCGGGAGAAAGCGAGGAGAGCGCGCGAGGGGAGGGGGGTTAACAGGGCGAAAATATTAAGAAACAAAATTCAACTTCAGTCACCCCTTAAACATTCGATAGCAAACATTATAAAGCGTTCTGCTAGTGTCTTTCATTGCGGGAACTCAGGAAATGTTGGCGCGTAATCTTTATTTGGATCCTGGCCAGTTTGTGCGAGCAAAACAGATTTCCTGATAGCGCGCGTGAGGATTAATCTCCTGTTATTTTATTTTATGTCTTTATTCTTCATTTTACAGCATTTCTGTCACGGGTGTGAGCGTGCTTGCATGGGAAAAAGAATCAATCGCGTTAAAAGGGAGAGAATATTAAGGAAGAAAATTCAACTTGAGATGTCACTTAACAGTGAACATTATAAAGCTCTTTTTTCTCTCTCCCTGTCGTGTCTTTGGTTGAGGGATCTCTGGAAATGGTGACGCGTAATCTTTAGTTGGATCAAGGCCAGCTTGTACGCGCCCGGTTGCCTGGCAGCAGCGCGAGAGGATTTAAAGCGTGGGTTTCTTTATTTTTTCCTTATTTTATTACAATTGTAAAATGACATGGCTCCACGGCACCGCATCCAGAAACTGCGACAAAGTCACCCTAGTAGTTTGAGCTGTTGCAAGAACAGCAATAAATCTTAATAGTTTGACAGTTCGCCAGGGATTGTGATTCATTCCTGATAGACAACAGGTGCATGGTTTTATCGACTTCTTGTGTCTTCCACTAACTTGATTTGAGGTCATGCATGTGTTTAATTGATAATACGTCATGCAAGCTCCTGAATTGTAAACATTTGTTATTAAACTAGTAATACGGATAATTAAGAAAAGAAATAATAGCTGAGTTAGGGGCATGGATGGAGCATCTCTGTCTGACACGTCTTGCATGTTTCTGCAGTGGGTTAATGTGGAACCAAGAAGGAATATGATCAAACACGGCGCCCTCATCTGGCAGAAATAAGCGAGATTCTGCTCATAAAATGGATTGCATCCTAGTAGATGATCTGCTGGATCGGAATTATTGGTAAACAGCGTGAATGGCACATTGTCCGTTTACAAGACTGATTTCTGATCCAATTACATGAATGATAAATGTGTGTGTGTGTGTGCGTGTGTGTGTGCGTGCGCGTGTGTGTATGTGTGTCTCTACAGTTTAGAACAAGCGGAAACTAACAAAAAATGTAGCTGTGTTCTCAGGACAAGAGTTTTTTTTAATTTATTTTATTTGATAAATATCAGGTATAGTTTAAATTATTTCCTGTGTTATAATTATCATTTACATAAATAGATTGCTATTTTGCAGTTGGTTTGTGTTGTTTCAATGTTTGCATGAGCTTATGAACAATTTAATACTTTAAAAATAAATAATAATAGCCTACAATAAATAATTAAGAACGAATTGTGTTCATTAAAATGAGTCTTTAACATGTTTTGACCTGATAATCTGTATTTTATTATTATTGTTATTATCATTATTCCTCTTCTTATTATTATTGTTAATATTATTAATATTATTATTATGCATTAATTTATAACCCCTTTTTGATACATTGTGATGACTAGAGTCAGTCACGCTACTAAGATTCAATTGGTCTTATTTTAAAAAATAAAAATAAAAAATAAAAGAATGAAAGAAATTATATTTATGAAAATCTGAAATATATAAGGGTTGTCCACACCTCCTAGAAAATTATTAAAGCTTATTGCTTAGAGAGATGGAAATAACAAGAAATTCCCTCTTCAACAACAAGTACAACAACAAAGAGCCCCGAGGGGCTTCGTTCACTTATAAGGTGGGCAGCAGTATAGCAGTTGTTCATTTTTTTTTTTTTTTTTCAAATGTCTGTGTATACCAAGATATGGGGTAAACACTTTCAGTCTGGGTGTTTAGTGTGAAGTGACAGCCTTTGCTCTGTGAATACAGGGTTGTTCTGGTTTTTGTGTCTGCCTCTCTCAAGTTTCAGTCTTTGATATGCTAAATAACTGCCTATTTTTAACTAGCAACTAGAAAAAGAAGAAGAAAAAAAGTGTGATAAAGAAATAATACCAATAGTTGTGGTGACAACACTGTTTGTTTTGTACACGGTTTTGTAACTTTGGGTTTGAGGAAATGTATTTAATATAATCCACATTTAAAGACGTGTTCTTTATTTCTTTATTTATTTATTTATTTATTTTACAAGTATAGGAACCAACATATGGTTTAAAACATTAAAGCGTTCCTTTGTTAATTCAGGAAACACTATTTAATTAATATATTAGCTCTTTATGTATGAAGGGTTCATATATATATATATATATATATATATATATATATATATATATATATATATATACACACACATATGAATGTTCAAGCATATCTGTTTTTTTTTCTTTTCTTTCTCTTCATAGTTGCAGTGTCATCACAGCAGGTATTTATTTGTATTTGACAAAGGATTATATACCACATTTTACACCCTGGCAAAATGGCTAATTTGTTTTAATTTAATTAGTATTATTATTATTGTTATTATTATTATTATTATTATTATTATTATTATTATTATTATTTTATGAAGAAGACATGCTATTAAACCCAAATTTACTAAAATGCAGCTATAAGATTGTATGGATTCATTAAATTAGACACTAAAGCAAAATAGTAGTAAACTTACATGAAATTGCTTTATTATTTTTTCATTTTTTATTATTATTATTTAATTTTTTTGACTGACAGTTCATGTCACATTGTTCTTCCATCAGATGTCATATACAGTAAGTACTAAAGACTTTGGTATTGAAATAGAGCAAACAGCATTCTCATGATAAATCCCATTTAAGGGACTGAAACTAATGCTACATTAAAATGAGATTGATCTAAAGATGTTTTTATTTTTATTTATTTTATTTTTTAATGATTAGAGATATGAAAGTCAATCACAGTCTTTCAGTCATCTCTCTCGTTTTTCCTCTCGCATAATAATGCAGTATATTAATCTGTTTATAGTTGTTATTTGAAATTTGAATGGATTTTTATTATTTATTTTTATTTATTTATTTATTTTTTTTTTACTATAACATGGTCTGCTCAGGGCCCCTTATATGCCAGGGATATACAGACACATCTGGCTGTAGATCTTGCAGTCAAACACATTAGTCAAGTGTATAATTATATGCAAAAAAAAAAAAAAAAAAAACTATACGGAAAAGTTGTACTTTTCTTTATTTGAAAAAAAAAAAAAAAAACTATAAACTTTGCCCTGGTCAACATTGCCCTGTCTCCTGTTCAGGGATGGGGATAATGACACTATAAATAAACAGTGTTACTTATGGCGATACTTCAGTGACAAACTATTAATTGGATTACTGTATCCCCCGTTACAACTTAAACATGAATTTTCTCCATCACATACACTTATTACTCAGACAGAATTAAACAAAATAATATCTCATTTCTGTTAAGTCCTAAACCATCTATTGTATTTTTTTGTGCAAACAGTTAGAAAACAGCAGAATATTTGAAGAGTGAGTAAATGCATATTTCTTTCAGTGGTAATAATAGTCTTTATAATGATATGTGGAATTTGATCGTTGTCTCTCACATTGTCCCATAACAACATTAAAATAGTGTATATTTATGATAAGTGTACAATGTTTTACAAGTAATGCAATAGTTTCTTTCCCTGGTAATTAGCTATGTTTATAATTATGTACTAATATAGTTACTATTTGTGAGAAGTAACAAGTAACTATAGCTAATTACTATTTTATAGCAACGGGCCTAACACTGGTTCTGTTAACTAAAACGAAAACTAAATATATTAAAACTAATGTAATATAATGTAATATATTGTAATGTAATGTAATGTATATTTATATAGCGCATTTATTGTATAAAAAAATAAAATAAAATATATATACATAAAAAAATAAAATAAAAGTAACAAAACAGTTGATAAAACTGGAATGCATATCAAAGTATTACTGAAAGAATATTGATACGTAGAAGAAAATGGTTTCGTATCATATCGCATCGTATCAGCACACCCGTGATTGCATATACGTGTGTATTTATGAATATATACCTGCAGGCACAGGACGTCAACATGACGTTGTTCGAGTTGAAGTCAGAACCCAACGTCAGGCCAACGTCTATGTCCAACCTGAAATCAACCAAATATCAATGTCTACTCATGATACACCTTGACGCTGTGTGAACGTTCCCACTATGATATCTATCAGACATTGGATTTTGGTCACTTTCCAACACAACCTAAAATCAACCAAATAACAATGTCATTTGACGTCATTATTGAACGTCAAACTAACGTTGTCCTTAGACACAGGCCAGACATTGAATTTTGGTTACCTGATGTCATGACCTAAATCTAACCTAAAATTCACATCTTTTGATGTTGTTTGCCTGCTGAGATGTATCTTTAGAATTGGTCTTGTGACAGTGTGAACAGTAAGTAAACCAGTACTAAATGTTTTATTTTGTTTATTTTAATTAATTTTAACTACTTTATTTGCTTGTTTTCTAGAGGGGGGGGGGGGGGGGGGGGGGAAACATGCAAGCACATCCTCAGTCTACAATTTGGTTTCTGTAAACTTCAGATGAAAAATAAATAAAACAAGCACACATGGCGGAAGAGAATATCATTAGCGTACATGTGATACTCTTGTCAACTTGCAATTTCTGACAGAGAGTAATGGCTCAGTTTCAACTTCTCAGAAAGTGTGAATGAGTAATGAGATGCAATTTATGTAAAGAATACCGCCAGTGCATCATCATACCTCTGCTTGTTTTTACAATCTGTGTCTGGGTGAAAGAGGGGGGGGGGGAAGCCATGGCAAGAATCCAAAGCACCCGTTCTTATTTTTTGTTTGTAGCCTCGTCTCCCAACAGGCAAAAAAAACAGAGAACGTCGCCCCTTACGTTC